GCCAGGATATAGCTGAGTTCCACAGGGAATTTATCAAGTGGGGCTTGTAAGCAACAGAAATGTTAACTTAGATGCCTGAGCTTTTGTTCCACTGAGAGCAACTGACATATCTTGCCTTTCTAAATAAACTGAGCTTTATTTATATATTTGCGGGCTCCCTGATTATTGATCTGTCCCACCCCTAACACCTATCATAGGGTCACGGATAAAGTAGGAATGGATAAATGCTTTCAATGAGGGCTCACGATTAAGTAGCTTGTGAGCGAGACATGTTTTGTTTGGCTATTATCATATTTTTTTTAAGCTGAATATGAATGTCTTTAGGCAGGGCATTCATTCTACAATTCACCACTGATCCTATAGCTTCCTATTATTGAATACCACTTCACTGTTTGTTTTCTTAGTATCTGCAATTTTTTCGCCATAGTTTTTCCTTGTATTTGACATATGGGGCACAAATTTAAAAATGCCTTCACTGGCCAGGAGGCGAAAACAAATGGTGAAGTGGTATTCAGTAACAGGAAGCAATAGTATTTGTAGTGAACTACAGAATGTATGCCCTGCCTAAAGACATTTAAATTCATGCAAACCTACAGTACTGAAGTCTCTTTTACCTGTCATCAGTGTTTTAGTATGTACTTCCATAAAATTATCTTTTCTTAAAAATGTCCTACTGTCCTGTAATTCCAGAACTTTGGGAGGCCAAGCCGGGTGGATCACAAGGTTAGGAATTCGAGACCAGCCTGGCCAATATGGTATAACTCCGTCTCTACTAAAAATACAAAAAAATTAGCTGGGTGTGGTGGTGCATGCCTGTAATCCCAGCTACTCAGAAGGCTGAGGCAGGAGAATTGCTTGAACCTGGAAGTGGAGGTTGCAGTGAGCCGAGATTGTGCCACTGTACTCCAGCCTGGGTGTCTTGAGAGAGACTCTATCTCAAAAAAAAAAAAAGTTCTACTGTGTCTCTAAGTAAATAAAAATGTGCTATTCTCTGAGAATGGTTATAATCCAATATAAAGCAATATGCACAAGATTGCATACACTATATAAAATGAATGTATTCAGAGAAAGGAACAGAAGGAAATTCACCAAAATTTCAGGTTATTAATCTCTAGGTTGTGGGATTAAGGATTATTTTTCTTTATTTTTTGTATTTTCATGTTTTCTGCAGTGTGCATGAATTGCATTTATAATCAGGAAAAAAATTCTTTTGCAGAAAAAGCTTTCACAAATTCAAACTGACTTTCTTCCTCCTTAAATTTAGGATGATGAAAAAGAATATTTATTGTGCGCCAATGTGATTCCAGGCAGGGTATTAGATGCTTTACATTCAATCATCAAAACCTACAGAACAACGACCTCAATTTTATCAAAAAATCTTGAAATCTCCAAGACAGAAAGACATAGAAATCTGGAGAAAAGGAAGCAAAAAAGAAAAGGAGAAAGTCTTAAAGCGAATTAAAAGAAAAAAATTGAGGACAAGGGTATAGAAGATGATAATTTATACATGAATTAATCAGATATTAGTGACAACTATTTCTTCCTTTTTCATGTTTTTTTTTTTTTTGCCCAAGGAATAAAAGCACAAGTGCCAACTATTTCAAGACACTTTGCTAGAGATTATGGGTCATACACTTGACAGGTTAGACATAGATAAAAAGTTAGCATACGTATGACAGCCCCTTTGCACACATTTAACATAGTACCTGGCATTAATGGAGCATAACAAAATTGAAATAACACACTCATCAACAACTAAAATGAAGAGGGGAAATACGAGTCATCTGAGAGATAGAGTACTGTAAAGTTAGTTCAGAGGAAGAAGGAATTACTTCCAGCTGGAGGGATAAAGAGGACAGGGGTGTTTAAAGGAAAAAGTCAGTGCTCATATCAGGCAAAGGGGGTTGACTCTTTCCCAAGCCTGGGTGCCAGGTCTGTACTCAGCTGTTTACTGGCCATCTCTCCAGGGGTGACCCAAAGGCCTCTCAAACTCTATGCCAACATTCAAATCTGACACCCACCATCTTTTCCCCATGTTCCTTGTCCAAGTTAACGGGTTTATTATCCATTCAGAAGTTCATTTATTCAACAGATGTTCATTGAATGTCTGGTATGTGTGGGCACAAGGTCTAATAAAAGACACAGACATCAGACAAGCAAACACAAAAATATAAAAGTACAGGAAAAGCAAAGAAAAATGGTACTGTGAGACAGAAAAGAATGATGGGGAGTTGAGACTGGGTTTAGATCTCTTTGAAGAAATGACATTTAAACTGAGAACTGAAGGATGAAAGGGAGCCAGGAAGGTTTGTAGTTGAAGGGGAGGTTCCTGGCAGAGAAAACAGTCTGGGAAAAGAAATTGACGGAAGAAAGGGCTTAGCAAATTAGAACTTCAGTTCTCTATAACTACAGCAAAGAAAAAAAATGGGTGAGTGTGGTGGGAAATGAAGGTAGAGAAATAGCCAGGACCTTGTAGTTTCTGTTACAAATTCTTAATTGTATTCTAAACGCAATGAAGCCACCAAAGAGGAGACAGCAATGAAAACACAGATGCCATTCCTGCCCTTGTGGGGCATACAGCCTAATGAAGGAAATAAATGATTTCAGTCCATGACCTAAATGTTAGGATAGGGGACATACTAAGTGTTTTGAAAACACTGAGGAGGAACACCTAGGCCAGTATAAGAAGGTACTGCAACAGCTTCTTAATCTGTTACACAGCTGTCAGTGTTTACCTTCCTCTCTATCCTCCATACCGCAGCCCATCCTCTTTCCTTAACACAAATGACAGCATGCCAGCTCAAAACGATCCATGGTTTCCCAAGGGATAAATTCCAAACCCTTGATCTCATGGCACAGTCTGGCCCTAACATTTATCTTCTTGGTTTAAACTTCACAATGATGTTCAATTTTTTTTTTTTGAGAGAGTGTTTCGCTGTTGTTGCCCAAGATGGAATGCAATGGCTCGATCTCAGCTCCCTGTAACGTTCACCTCCTGGGTTCAAGTGATTCTCCTGCCTCAGCCTCCTGAGTAGCTGGGATTACAGGCATGCGCCACCATGCCTGGCTAATTTTGACCCAACCTATAGTATGAAATACATTTTCCCTGTACACACACATCCACATAAAATGCTAAGACAAAAGTTTCAAGAAACAATTCAGGTAGGATTAACCTGATATTTTCTACTCATTCTATGTTCTTTTTGTTGTTGTTTTCTCTAAATGGTGCTTGTGACTTATTCATGAACTGCTAAAGGGCTCTGGCCTGCAGTTTGAAAATCACTGACTGCTCGCTCCATCACTGTGTTCTCCACTCAGCTCTTAGTAAACTCTGTTCTTTTGTCATTTGCCCTAACAGTCCCGGATTCAGGGAATGTCCTGCCCTTTTTCACTATTCCTGTACACACCAAGTTCTGACTGCCCTCTCAAAATGCAGCTCAAATGCTTCTTCTACAGAGAAAGCTTTCCACATACTGCCCCATTCACTATGTTTCCATCCTCAGAGGTCCCAGAGTTTGGCACACCCTGACTGATACATTTGTCACATAGGTTTATGACTTAGGAAACAAAGTCACTCAGCTCTAAACTAGGTTTCTCGATATCAGCAACCTAACTGTTTTATTTCAGGCCCCAAATACTATCTCATCTAAAGCAAAGGTCAAGGGATATTATGTTGGATCCATGAAAACTGACTTCATCTTGTGCTACCCTCCCTACACCCTCACCATTTTAGCTGTGCACCAGACCAACTAGCCATCTTTCTATTTCTCAAACACACCAGCCTTTTCTTCCCAGCGCCTCCCTGTACCACTCTTCCCGCAGCCATTTCCATGGGCAATGTTCTTACTTTATCTTCAGATCAGTAGTCTACTCTCAGGAAAGCTGTCTGCCCAATCTCCCCTCGCATTTCCTTTATTTATATTATGACATCTATTACTCCCTGAAATTACCTTGTGTTCTATTTCTTTTCTTTTCTTTGAGACGGAGTTTCGCTCTTGTTACCCAGGCTGGAGTGCAATGGCGCGATCTCGGCTCACCGCAACCTCTGCCTCCTGTGCTCAGGCAATTCTCCTGCCTCAACCTCCTGAGTAGCTAGGATTACAGGCACGTGCCACCATGCCCAGCTAATTTTTTGTAGTTTTAGTAGAGACGGGGTTTCACCATGTTGACCAGGATGGTCTCGATCTCTTGACCTCATGATCCACCCGCCTCGGCCTCCCAAAGTGCTGGGATTACAGGCGTGAATCACCGCGCAGCGCCTGTTTCTTTACTGATTTGTCTCCCACGTTAGAATGTTCAATCTTTGAAGGAACTGATCTACTGAGCTGCCCGAGTAACTGCACCTAAAATAATGCGTAACACGTAGTAGGCCTTCAGAAAACATGAGTGACAAATGAGTAAATGGGAGATGAGGCAGACGAGGCCATAGGAGTCTTAGAAGCCTGTCTTATAGCCGTTTTGAGGTGTCCCTTGCAGAACCAGGGGCCACCGCTAACGCAAGGTACACAAGCTAGACCCGGGATTGGGAGAGAGGGAGGGAGTTAAAGCGCGCAGGTGCCACTTTCGGGGCCTACCAGTAATAAGTGACTGTACAGGCCGCGCACACCCGCTCGGCTGGGGCTTCGCACACCTCACAGCAGAGCCTGCGCCCCTTTGGCACCGCCAGTGGGTAGATCACATTCATGGTACAGCAAGCGGTGTCGGCCTCTAAGACCGTTGCCCGGCAAGGAGACGCCGAACTCCGGCGTCACGTGACGATCGCGGGTCCGCGTCCTTGCCAGTATTTCAAGGGCAGAAGGCGGCGGGACGTGACTCGACTAACATCTGGGGTCTATTGTTGAGGCTGCAAAAGGAAAAAAAGGAAAGAAAAAGAGGCACAAACCCCACAAGTCCCAGGTGTCAAAGGCCGAGAAACAGCTCCCAAGAAATCTGTGTCCCGGAAAGCCTGTACGGGGACCGGTAAGAGTCAAACATGGTCAGTTCTTCACCCGGGCTAAAAAACGAACGTGAGGAGCTCGACCCTACCAGATACCCACCCAGCCGGGGATCCCCCTCGTTTCAGTGTCACGTTCGCTGGACTCTAGGGCAGAACAACTGCGCATTTCCAGACATGGCGAGATCGAGACCTACGGTCAAAACAAGGGTAGTGAACCGCCCACTCACTATCGCGCGGCGCGAGCACCAGGCACAGGAGAAGGGGCGTGGCGCGGCGGCCGCGGAGCGTGCGCAGGCGCAGTGCGCTGTGGCGCTGATAGCGGAAATGGACCTGGTAGCCGAGTTCCCCCAGCCTGCCGGTGCCGCGCGCTGGGCTGAGGTTATGGCTCGCTTCGCTGCCGGGCTGGGCGCTCAGGGCCGGCGGGTGGTGTTGGTCACGTCTGGCGGCACCAAGGTCCCATTGGAAGCGCGGCCCGTCCGCTTCTTGGACAACTTCAGCAGCGGGCGGCGCGGTGCAACCTCGGCTGAGGCCTTCCTAGCCGCCGGCTACGGGGTCCTGTTTTTGTATCGCGCTCGCTCCGCCTTCCCCTATGCCCACCGCTTCCCACCCCAGACTTGGCTGTCGGCTCTGCGGCCTTCAGGGCCAGCCCATTCAGGCTTGCTGAGCCTGGAAGCCGAGGAGAACGCACTCCCGGGTTTTGCTGAGGCTCTCCGGAGCTACCAGGAGGCTGCGGCTGCAGGCACCTTCCTGGCGGTAGAGTTCACCACTTTGGCGGACTATTTGCATCTGTTGCAGGCTGCGGCCCAGGCACTCAATCCGCTAGGTGCGTGCCCTAGGAGTATCCCTTTTGCCTGGAAGCAGCTCCTTTCTCTCCAGCCACTTGTCCCCTTACCTCCTGCTTACCCACGGATCTCAGCTGGGGAATCCGAGTTGAAAAGGCGCTGATCCTGTATCCCTCTCCGATTTGTTACACCTTGTTCTTCTCTTTGCAGGCCCTTCTGCGATGTTTTACCTGGCTGCGGCCGTGTCAGATTTCTATGTTCCTGTCTCTGAAATGCCTGAACACAAGATCCAGTCATCTGGGGGCCCACTGCAGGTGATGGGCGCTTCTCTTCCAGAGATCTGATCCCATATAACCAATCTTGGGTTAATTTCCTCTTGATCTGGAGATGGCCTTTCTGCATCTGTATGCGCTAGGCACAGGGGATACAGAGATGAATAAGACACCGCCCTCCCTCATGGACCTCACAATCTAGTGAGGGAGCTGGACACAGACATAATTACAGTACAGAGTGATAAATGCTCTAGTGGAGGTATGTACAAAGTGCAGTCAGACCATGGGGCGAGTAAATTCTGGGGGAGTCGATGAAGCTTCTTGGAGGAGATGACTTGAACTGGGTTTTAAAAGATGAGCAGAGCCGGGTGCGGTAATCCCAACATTTTAGGAGGCTGAGGTGGTTGGAGCGCCTGAGATCAGGAGTTCAAGACCAGCATGGCCAACGTGGTGAAACCCCGTCTTTACTAAAAAAAAAAAAAAAAAAAAAAAAAAAAATACAAAAAGTAGCCGGCTGTGGTGGCGGGCACCTGTAATCCCAGCTACTGGGGAGGCTGAGGCAGGAGAATCGCTTGAACCCGGGGGGTGGAGTTTGCAGTGAGCCAAGATCATGCCATTGCACTCCAGCCTGGGCGACGATGAGAGTGAGACTCTGTCTCTCAAAAATAAAAAATAAAAAAAAATAAAGATGAGCAGAGAGTGTACAAAGTGGGAAATGTCATTCCAGGTGGAGAGTATGGCAGTTGGAATTTGGAAGTGGGTAGCGGGTTGTGAACCAAAGTGCTTTGGTAAGGCTGGAGAGCTGACCGAAGAGATGGCTTGCTTTGTAGAAGACTTCGTTTTCCTTTTTTAAGGAGCTTGGATTTTTTCTTGTGGAGCTAAGGGACACGTAAGTAGGAGAATGAGGTAAAGTTTTTGTTTGAGAGCAACATTCTGGCATCAGTATGAAAGATGAAGTGGAGAGGGAGAAAGAGTGGGTAGATTAGTTGGGGGCTATTGTAGTTTAAGGAAGAAATATGGACGTAGATGTGGTTGTGATTTTAGATCTAGGTTTCTTGGAACCTTCGGGAGTTCTTAGTCGTTTATTGGGTGATACAGGTAGGATTGTATTAGGAGAAACTCTACCTGTGGGGCATTTGCCGACTTTGTAGAATAATTTATTGGGGTCCTACACTACTGTAGGACTTGGAGATGAAAGCAGTGAAAAGAAACATACCCTGCCCTTGTGTTGCTTCCTTTGCAGAGGAGACAATAAGTAAGTCAAATACATACCTCGTTTGGTAGTGATAAATGCTATAGAGAAAAATAAAGTGGTATATGATCCCTGTCACATTTACTAACAGCTTTTCTTTAGGGGAAATCCTGATGATTAACTTAGTGATTTCACACTTTTTAATCTCTGGGATCTTTAGTTTATCTCATATTTTTTAGTTCTATCTCTTTTTTTTTTTTGAGACAGAGTCTCCCTCTGTCACCTGGGCTAGAGTTCAGTGGCGTAATCTCAGCTCACTTCAACCTCCACCTCCCGGGTTCAAGCGATTCTCTTGGCTCAGCCTCCCAAGTAGCAGTTCTGCCTTGAAAGTAACAAAACAACTCAACATTACCCTGAGAAGGGACTGGGGATGAGGTAGTAGGAGTTTTGGTCAAGTGAAAATAAAATCGGTTTCCTCACTGCTAAGTTGTGTTACAAGTGACAATTTAAAAATGGAATCTAATAGCCATTCTGCCAGTGCAAGAAATATTTTAGGCTGAGAGGTTTAAAAACCCAACCGTAGGCTGGGCGCTGTGACTCACACCTGTTATCCCAGCACTTTGGGAGGCTGAGGTAGGCAGGTCACCTGAAGTTGGGACTTCGGGACCAGTCTGACCAACATGGAGAAACCCTGGCTCTACTAAAAATACAAAATCAGCCAGATGTGGTGGCGCATACCTGTAATCCCAGCTACCCAGGAGGCTGAGGTTGGAGAATTGCTTGAACCCGGGAGGTGGAGGTTGTAGTGATACAAGATTGCACCATTGCACTCCAGCCTGGGCAACAAGAGTGAAACTTGGTCTCAAAAAAACAAACCAATTTTTATTGGTTTCTGCCAAAGTAACATTTGTATGAACAGATTATTTGTTTATTTGAGGGTTTGGTTCAAAAATAAAGGGGCATGCTTGCGAAAATACTAATGGTGATAAGGGTAGCAGAGCAGAGCAGGGCTTATTCAGAATATGTGGTTTGCTCCAGAATATGTATAGAGCCTTGAATTTAGGCATCACTGTGAACTCTACAGAGCCAAGGATTTTTTTTGTTTGTTTGTTTGAGACAAAGTGTCACTCTGTTGCCCAGGCTGAAGTGCAGTGGCACAATCACAGCTCACTGCAGCCTCAGCCTCCCAGGCTCAAGTGATTCTCCCATCTCAGCCTCCTTAGTAGCTGGGACTACAGGTGGGTGCCACCATGCTTGGCTAGTTTTTTTTATTTTTTGTAGAGACACGGTTTTGCCATGTTTCCCAGGCTGGTCTTGAACTGGGCTCAAGAGATCCACCCACCTTGGCCTTCCAAAGTGCTGGGATTACAGGCCAAGCCACTCTGCCCCCTCCCCTACAGGCTTTTAAAACAGCATTTAATTGAAAAGTTTGACAATTGAGAAATCCCACTTAAATTTGATTCCTTCGTTTCCATAGTTTCCCATGAGATTGACCTGGTAGGTAATGACCATTGTTTGCTTATTAAGCTTTTCTTTTTCCAATACAGATAACAATGAAGATGGTGCCAAAAATGCTTTCTCCTTTGGTTAAAGATTGGGCTCCCAAAGCGTTTATAATTTCCTTTAAGTTGGAGACTGACCCCTCCATTGTAATTAATCGAGCTCGGAAGGCTTTGGAAATTTATCAGCATCAAGTGGTTGTGGCTAATATCCTTGAGTCACGACAGTCCTTTGTGTTTATTGTAACCAAAGATTCGGAAACCAAGTTACTGCTATCAGAGGAAGAAATAGAAAAAGGCATAGAGATAGAAGAGAAGATAGTCGATAATCTTCAGTCTCGACATACAGCTTTTATAGGTGACAAAAACTGAAGTAAAATGCCCTTACAGGATCAAAAATTGTTCAGGGCTCTTACAGATGGTGAAAACTATAATAAAACCTTTGCTTTCATATGGATAGATAAAATGAAAAGGGAAAAGGCAGTGGTGTGCAGGCAAATAAGGTTTGGTATTTGTCTTTTAATGAGGACACCTGATACACTTACTTGAATGTCATCTTGATTTTGAAATTGAACACTAGAACTGTTTCTCACCTTTAAAAAGAAGAGCTTATTGGGAATTACATATTCCTTAAAATATACATGGGGGCCTGAATATCGTCTGTCTTTATACTGTAAAAAGAGGATTATGGATGCATGAATGGCCATGCTTTGGAGATAAAATATTTGTTGAGTGCCTACTGTGTGTCAGGCCCTGTGCTGAGCCATGAGGATTAAAAAGATGAATAAACATGTCTTGTTTGGGAAATGGATGTATAAAAAATTAAGTGCAATAAAGTGTCCAAAAGCTGACTCAATGGAAAGGATGTTGTTTTTTTGGAAATTGATGAAGCATAGGAGTAGGAGAAGATACCTCCCTGAAGATAGAGAATGGTGAGCTTTTTGCTTCTTATTCTAGATTTACCTCATATTTGGGTAACAGTTTACATTTCAAGTATTTTAGGACTACTCTTCAGCTTAACATGGCCTTCTACCTGTTACCAGGCAGGGGTCTCTTGGTGACCTCTGTCCTGAGGGAGGCATTACAGTGTGGGCTAGGAGTCAACTTAGCCAGCTGTGCCACCTATTCGTTTTATAAACTTAGGCATTTGACTTAATCTCAGTGTCCACATGCATAAAATGGGGATAATCTCTGCAAAGTAATGCCATTTATTGTGAGAATTAAATGAAATCGTGAACAGAAAGCATCAGTCTGGGTGCCTAGCACTTGCTTCACACTGACTAAATGGTTGCAGTTAGTGTTCTTCTCACTTAACAAAGCAGTGTTACACCAGTAGCCTACCTAATCTTTGAATCCTTGAGACTCTGAAAAACTTTCAGTACTTCTCTTGCTGTCCTGGATTTTGGGTTGGGAGTGCACAAGTAGTGTAGTGCAAAAAAATTCCCTAAATGATCTCTAGGATAGTCCAGGGTGCAATTTGAAAAATTAGCATTAATGAGTAAGGTAGAAGGTGGTACTGTGTTTCACATAAATATTTGACTTAAAGTACAATTCATGGTGTTTCATGGAGTAGGGAAGGATAGCCCATGTGTCTCTCTGATAATAGAAGTACAATAAATTTAATTGAGAAGATTTGATAAGAAATTCTAAGATAGACTGAAATACTTCATTAATCAGGAAGCGTGACCCGGAGCAGAGGAGAAATAACTGCAGCAGTCCCTTTGGAAAAATACTTTTTTTTCCCCTTAGAGACAAGGTCTTGCTTTGTTACCACGTTGGAGTGCAGTGGCCCAATCATAGTTCACTGTAACCTTGAACTCCTGGGCTCGAGCACTCCTGCCACAGCCTTCTGAGCAGCTGAGACTGCAGGTGTCTGCCATCATGCCTGGCTAAATATTTTATTTTTCACAGATACAAGGTCTTAACTATCATACCCAGGATTCTTTGACAAAGATTTTAAATGAACTTCAGGACCAATTTGCAAAACCCCAAAAGCAACAGGCTCTGTCAGCAGTGGCTGCAGTACTGAAGGGCAAGAAGTAGAATATGTTCTTCTCTGCATTTAGAGCTTCATGTGGATGATGACTCATCACCTTTGGATGTACAATGGGGATATGTGGGGCTAAAAGTAGAAGTGATCCTGTTTGTTTTTACCATAATTATTACTTCCTTTGGGAATCATTTTACATCTTCTCTTGTTAACGCTTAAAAACAACCAGTGTTCTACATGAAATTATTTAGTGTTTTCTGCTTCAGTTTAATTTTTATTCAGGGTACTTAAAAAGATTATTTACACAAGTAAAAATTCCGGGGTAGTGGAGGGGAGAGAGTGAGAGTGTATGAGAGTGTATGTGTTTTAACAGCAAATGGAAGTGTATAGAGAAAAGGAACATGAGTCAATGAGGGTAAGTAGGAACCTGATTTTGGATGGAGGATCAAGGAATGTTTCCCTAAGTAGGTGATACTTAAACTGATAAACAGGAGTTAAGTGAGCTACAGGTGGTGATGGTGAGCATTTTAGTTCAGAAAAAACACTTGCAAAAGGTCCAGTGCCAGAAGGAGAGGTTGAGGCACTTATGTAAAGAGTAAGATACGTCCAAATAATGCATGTAGAACCAGCAAAGATTTGGAAAAGTATCCTCTTGGGGAACTAGAATAACACCAAAAAATGTGTTTGGAATACTAGCAAAGCAAGGGCCTCCAAAACATAAGTAAAATTGAGCTTTGATAAGAAGAATTTCAATAAGAGTATCTAAAAAGATGATGTAAATTGAGTATGTTAAATTTTGTGTCCTAAGTTTTTATTTTGCATTACATAAGTGGGGGAGATAAGGTTCAATTTTCAGTGTAAGGACTTCTGAAGGGCTTCAGCCTTAGGGATAATTCTAGTCAAGCCCAGTTTCTTCCTTTTAACAATAATAAGCTGGGTCCAAAAATTGTGATTTATCTTGCATGCCCCACATGGCTAGTGACACGCTCTAGCCCTGAAATTTAGAACTCTTGACCTAGCACTCCCTGCCCCTTTAAGAATGAAGGCATTTACAGAAAAAAAAAAATCCAAGGTTACTAGGCTGGGGCTCTAGCTGAGGCCTGGCGGGAAGCTCTTCCTGAACTGGAACGCCCCAAGACAAAATGCATTTGCTAAATCGCAAACGCGTGACATGACGTTACCATGGTTACAGCTGTCTCCAAAGCCAATGGAATGAGTCGTACTATCGATACGGCCGGGACAACTCCGCCCCCGGCCCGAATGCCAATGGTGTGAGCCGTAACAACAGTCTCCTCAAGAAGCACAGTCTCTGGCGCTAGTGGCGTGCGTCGTCTCTATGGTTCCCGCCGGAAGGACGCCTTTGCGTCTCTGCGGCTAGCGTGGTTGCCATGACGTCCGGGTCTCCGCCAGCAACTGCGCCTTGTCGCTGAGCGCCTAGGGACCAAGCGACCCCGGGACCCTCGCGGCACCCTCCGCAGGAAAATTTCCGACTTGGTTCCTGAGGTTCCTGCGGAGGAAAGCACCCATCCTCCCCTCTTTTCCGCATTCTGGGCCTTTTCCTTTTCTCTCCCCAGTATGGCCCGAAACTACAGAAGGGGATCCCCTACTGGCCCGGCATGTCTAGTCCCGGGTTTGAGTGATTCCGCCTGAGGTAGGATTCGCCCGTTTCCCCGGAACCAGCTGCCACAAGCATTTAGTATTAGGCTGCCGCTGTTTATTAGAGCGGGCTTAGAACACCCTCAGCGAGGTAGGTCGGCGTTCCTTTTCTCGCTTAAAGGTGAGGTCTCGAGACGCGCCCCTGACGGCGCCAGAAGGTCCAGGCCACTACAAAGTCCACAGAGGTGCAGTTTCCCCTACGTTAGGCCCGCGAACAAAGAACTGCTGTTTCTGATTTTTTGGCCGATGTTCATCATGCAGAACGTTGAATCCCAATGAAGATTTGGAGGCCTTTTGTATCTTCAACATCAGAGGTCATGAAGTCAGTTACCTTCTGCCTTTCAAGCTACAACCTTTTCCACTTCTCTCATCATTCCAAGCACCAGTTTTCTCATCCTGCTTATTTCACAGCCATTTTAACCTTTCCCTGTTCACGCTGCACATTATTGAATGTCCATTCGTCTCCACCACCCCTGTCATCTACAGACCACCTCCTTCTGCTTTCCTGCCGCAATGCTTTGTGTACCTAAGTATTTCGCATTCTCCAGCTCTGCAGTCATTGGGAAGATTTTCTGTCTTTCTTTGCACTATGGCAAGCTTTCAGTCTTGGGTAGAGACTAGGAGAAGTGCACATTGGTAAATATAAACATTAAATACGGCAAGCCGAGTGCGTTTTGAAAATGGAAAAAAAAATCAAAATTGCAGCATTGGACCTATTTCAGGCTTATATAACGAACTAAGGTTGTTCCTTGTTTAAGTTTTGTTGATGTGTTTATCAATGTGAAAAGCGCATTCAAAATGATCATGTAACACAGGATTTCACCTTTAAGCCCATATGAACCCCACATTGGGGATATAATATAATTTTCTGGAGAGGAGATAATTGAAATAGTACTTGTGCCTTCTTTTTCCTGTCAGTTTCTGAATCAGAAAACATTCTTTGTGATGTAAGCCAAGAAACAAAAACAATAAGGAGTGATTGAAAATAAATATTTTTGGCAAGGGAGCAGACACAATAGTTCTAAAAAGGCTGGAACAGAGGGCCGTAAATATGGCATAAGATTAATTTAGATCCAGTGCAATTTTATTTTAACTTGGACAGCTTGACTTAATTTGTCTTACAATATGCGTTCCTTGTTGAATCTTACTATTTCTTCTTCAGTATTCAGTTTTAAAAGTAAACCTATTTTGAGGATATGGAGAACATAGACATTTTAAACAGCTATTTGGGGCCATAATGATTTGGATATTTTGATTTCTCAGGCCAACCGAAGCAGTTGTTTGTGATGTGAGCCAGGTCAAGTTTTTAAATACTGAGAAATTCAGCTTTCTCTTCTAGAATAGATAGGAAAACAAAAACAGGTTCTGCAGCCTTTTCAATCTTGGACATTAAATTGGAACTGGATAAACTCTAACTCTTGATAAAAGAGAATGTTAGATGCTATATTGTAAGGGGCTTTCCTTTCCTCTTCTAATATATATTTATTGAATAAACATTATTATGGCAAGTCACAAATTTTTTGTTTTTTTTTTGTTTTTTTTTGTTTTTTTGAGACGGAGTTTCACTCTTGTTACCCAGGCTGGAGTGCAATGGCACGATCTCGGCTCACCGCAACCTCCGCCTCCTGGGTTCAGGCAATTCTCCTGCCTCAGCCTCCTGAGTAGCTGGGATTACAGGCACGCACCACCATGCCCAGCTAATTTTTTGTATTTTTAGTAGAGATGGGGTTTCACCATGTTGACCAGGATGGTCTCGATCTCTTGACCTCGTGATCCACCCGCCTCGGCCTCCCAAAGTGCTGGGATTACAGGCTTGAGCCACCGCGCCTGGCTAAGTCACAAATTTTAAAAATGTTTAACCTGGGCAAATGTGGCAAAAACCTGTCTCTACAAAAAATGCAAAAAATAAGCCAGGCATGGTGGAGTACTCCTGTAGTCCTGGCTACTCTGGAGGCTGAGGTAGGAGGATCACTTGAGCCTGGGAGGTCAAGGCTTTAGTGAGCTATGATAGCACCACTGCACTCCAACCTGGGCAACAGAGTGAGATCCTGTCTTTAAAAAAAAAAAAAGAATCCTGTCATTCTAACACAGTTTTAAACCTGGGGAAGGGGTGTTGTTTTTGCCCCCTTTGAGACATTTGGCAATGTATGAAAACATTTTTAGTTGCCACAACTGGGGTTGTTCTACTGGCCTCTAGTTGGTAGA